AATATTTACAAATTGAGTCACTCCCAGTTTCAGGAAGAAGGGTTTCAATTCTTCAACATTTTAGTTCATTTTTTCCACCAGTTAAAAATGATTACTTTGATATTTACTTGACATTGATAGATTAAAATTAACTGAATATATTTGTATAAACTGAATATACGAAGATGTTTGTTTGTACTGCAATTAGATTTGGATTGTCCTTGTGCTAGTATTTTGTGTTAACTGTTAATTGTGACTGTTAAGGATTCTTGTACTTATACAGTATCCATTTTATTCATTATTAAAGTGGAAAGTTTAAGGGACTGATTGCGCTTGTTTTTCTGGATCTAGGTTTGACGTGGCCCAGACTGATAGAATGACTGATAGTATCTTCACCAGCTGTAAGGGTGGGTCCCGGATAAATGAATTTGGGTTCCCAGATCTTAGTTTGGCACTTGTCCAGCACATAGAAACTGTCGATCAATCTGCATTAATTAGCATTAAATTGGCTCATTTACACAGAGGTACTACAGGATTACAGATGTGGGAAATGAAAGATCACACTGGTACAGTTGGGGTTGCTCGATTCAAATTAGAATTAAGGAGCATTGTTCAGGCCATACGATGCCGACAGTAGGTACAGAAATGGAAGCAATTTATTTTCGAGGACTGAGACACATGTGACCGAGCAAATTGGGAGGAAAAGTCTAACCCTTTGAGGACTGAAACAGCAAAGATTAGAAAAATAGAGCTGTAAAGCTGCCAATCTTACTATCCACTTATCAGGAAGAAGTATGTGGAGAAATTCCACCTGGGTCTAGATTTTAGTCTTTTGGCATTTCAAAGCATCCACAATTTAGCAAGTTCTTACATACAGCCTTCAATTTGAACCTGGCTTTCTGTAAGCTCTTTCAAGAGCTACAAAAAACTACTTTCAAAGGTGTGACTCCATTCAACTGTTCCCATTAAAAGTGATAATAATAATAATCCTTGCATGTGATAAGGCGCCTTATCACATCTTCGAGACGTCTCAAAGCGCTTCACCGAATATACTGTAAAGTGAATTGACTGCATATTGTGGGCGAAACGCGGCAGCCAATTGTGCTCAGCAGTGCATACACAATGCTGTAGACTCAGTTTATATAATGCTCAGAATAGAAGGTAATTATTTAGATAATATTTCAGTATTTTTTCAATTTGTTTGCTGTATGTTGAAGCAGAAGTAATGTTACGTTAACCTGTTTATGTTGAGGTTGTCATCTACATTACGGTTCTAATCAATTGCATTAGAGAAAGCTGTTTTTCACCTGAATTGAAAGAATTAAATGAAAATTTCTTAGTTTGTTATGCTTCCTGTTCAAACATGAACTCCAATAACATATCTAGCGCCCATTAAAAATGAATTTCCTTAATGTCCTTAGTGAAGACTAATTTTGCTTTTTAACTTGTGTATTTATCACGAGAATCCTGATAGTGTATACATAGGATGGATAAATATAGCAGAGATAACACTATGAAAAGCAGCAACTCTGGCTCCACCCTCTGGAACTCCATCCCGCAGTCCCTCCGCCTCACCCCCTCCCTTTCCCCCCTCAAGAGCCATCTCAAGACCCTCCTTTTCGATCACCCTCCACCCTCCCCGACCCCCAGCTCGGGTCCAAAACACTGACTGTCCAGTGGCTTGGGACGTCCTCCTGACGTGAAAGGCGCTATACGAATGTAATGTTGTTGTTTTTCTGGTTTGGTTTTGTTGACCTACTCCTTTCCCACAAAATTGCACATATATTCATATTTCCATTTTGTATTAAAAACAAGTACAGATTATTTTTCAATAAAGTTCTAGTAATGCTGCCTAACTTTGTGCAAGGTCATTGTGCATCAATGGAGTGGCACCCAGTGACTATTGATATTTGCACTGTTGCTCACTTACTGCTCATGCAAAGTGAATTAAATACAGACACCCCCGAACAACCTCAGACATTGACAATATATATTGGAAAGAGTAATAATTCATCAACTGAAATAAACAGATGTTCAAAGGAGAGACTCGTCAGCTTCTAACGGTCCTGCACTGTGATTCTTACTATTGTCTGTCGCTGCTTGTGATCTGAACTGGGGACTGACTGGCTGAAATGCAGGTGCAATCTATAATTTTGTAAATAAATAAAAAGCATCTGAGTTTAGCACTCTCGACTTCCCTCGCAGTACAATTTCCAGTATTGATTGTGAAGTGGTGTGCGGTAGAGGTCTGAGAGGGAGGGGGGAAATCGGAGGTTTCTTTTTCACCCCTTCAGCTATGATGGAACGCAGTTGGTAAAGCCGCGGGGAGGTAGAGTAGGTTCATCAGGTAAAGCAGAAGTACCTGATTCAGCAAAGGAAATAGAGAGAATAATGGTGACATAACTGGAAAGGAAGAATTGTAGCTATTCTTTTTTTTGCTAACTTGCATATTTTTTTCTCCTTTTAAATGTGGTCCGAATGATGAAAATATTTTATTTCAAAAATTTGGGTCCATTTGTGGTGCATTTGAGACTGGTAAAATGAATCATTTGTGCATTAGATGTGGTGGAGTCAGCGGAAGAACCAGACAACCTTGGCAATGTCCCAGTAAGGCAACATAACCCCTATCCTCAGAAGAATGTCCTCTACCAGTGGCTTCTCAATCCTTCACTCATTCAACCTTTTAATGTCTGATAAGGAGCACTTTCGGTGTTCACTCATGTCTTGCGACTAGAGATTAGAACAACACTATCTGATTATTTATATTTGTGACCCAGACAAGCAACCAGTGATAGGTGACCTTCTACAACCGTCTCTAGATTTCTCCAGTGATAAAATTCTTCACTGTCCAGAAATGTATATAAGATTGCTGACTTTTTACCCAGCCTCTTAATACTCAGTATTTGGGTAGAAATTCCTTAACAGAGGATGCTTTTTTAGTGCTCTCAGTTTAGATATGTTTACTGTTAACCTTTTGTTCAGTTTAAAGGCTCATGTTTATCTGGTGGAGAAGGGAATCAGTATTGTTGCAATAATAATAATAATCCTTGCGTTTGATATAGCGCCTTATCACATCGTTGGAGACGTCTCACAGCGCTTCACAGAATATACTGTAAAGTATAGTGACTGTAATTTGTGAATGAAACGCATAGTCACTATAGCACAATTTAAGTAATGAGGTATACAATGCGTCAGCAGACAGCAGCGAGGCTTATGTGATCTTTTCAATAGCAATATGCTGTAGATCAAGGGAAGACTTGTGTGCAGCAGTCGGGTTTCTCTTCATGTCTTGCAGATGTTCAAGGATGTAGAAACGCTGCTGCTACGGCAACACTCTTGTGCCATTACGGCTCTGTAAACTGCTCTTTTTCTGGACTCACTCCAGAACAGCAAAGACTAAGAGTTGCGTCTGTCTCGGCTTTGGAGAGTGATTTGCTTTGCCTGAACTATTGTTTGTCATTCGGAATCCATTTTATGGAAAAGAATGAAAATGAGCCCTGTGCTAAACACAGCGATTGGTCACTAATAATAATAATAATAATAATAATAATAATCCTTGCATTTGATATAGCGCTTTTCACGTCGGGAGGACGTCCCAAAGCGCTTCACAGAATAGACTGTAAAGTGAATTGACTGTATATTTGTGGGCGAACGCGGCAGCCAATTGCGCACAGCAATGTCCCACAAACAGTCGTAGATTGAAAATGACCAATTTATTATTGTTTTTGTTTTTGGAGGGATTATTATTAGGCGTGTGGAGTAAGGAAACTTGCCCAAGGTTTCGCCCTGTCTGGAATTGAACTCAGGTCTCTCACTTGCAAAGCGAGTGCTCTAACCACTGAGCTACAGGACTCCACAATCACACCTGAATATTATCAAACTCTTTCAGTAATATAGACAGTCTGTGCTCTGCTTAACTTCAAGAACTCTTAAAGTGGAGAGAGGGCCCTGCTATCCTTCCTTTTTCTGCCCTATGTGCGAAGGTAAAGTTTTGTGAAATTCAGATATGATTAAACACATTTATAGCACTGCCTAATTTAGCCTCTTGGACTGCTTTTATGAGAAGATGCCTATTCATATGCCCGTAAAAGAATGGACTGACATTTACAGTAGAATCTAAACAGTTCAGTTTACAAAGGAAGAAAGAAATATCAGTCTTAAGTTTTGCAGCCAACTAGCACTGTAGGCTGATGATGACTTTATTGTGCGTTAACTAAGATTTATAAAATTCCAGTAGCATACTTATAATTGTACAAATTATAATTGTAGTGAGTCTTGTACAAATGCTTCTGTAGTGGCTAGTATGGCAAAGGCCAATGCGTTAATAGCTCTCAGAATTTTAGTGCATTATAATGATATTCAGATGAACTTTACATATGCAAAGCAGCAGCAGAAGTATTACATTTACAGTGCGTTGACCTCAGCCACCAATTATCAATGCAAATGGGATGCGTGTTTGAAAATGAAAAATCCTTTGATGCTCGTTTTGGGATTATCCAATGCGGTACGATCTTAATTAGCCAATAAAAGCTAAATACCAGGTGACGGTGCTTCACAAACTATCTATATTACTTTCAGATTTCCAGCATCTGCAGTATTTTGCGTTTTTATCCATATTAGTTGATGTATTGTTTGTTTCTTGCCACAGTCTGACTAGAACCTTCAGGCAACCTTTGATCTTGCTGTGAATCTAAATGTAAGCCATTTGTCACAGTATAAAAGATTAAGATGAGTCTCCAGGATTATCCATTTCACCTTTTGTTCCTGCACCGTGTGTGAAGCATCTCTGCTCACTTGGCAGCTCTGGGCACACACTGATGCCCACTTGGTTCGGCATAAACTCCATTCTGCCAAGGACTGATTCTAGTAGGTGTTCATTGTGTACCAGACGTTTGTTAAATTGAACTGGAGAACGAAGAAGTGACTATTATTTTGCGGATGAACGAAGCACTGCGTTGGGTTTGGGAAAAGGAAACAGTCGCTTTGATTGTTATAAACCGTCCTCCTCTTTTGTATTTCAGCTGTCGTACAAGTAATAGGAAGAGCCTGATTGTGACATCGAGCACTTCACCGACTCTACCGCGACCACATTCGCCATTACCAGGACACACAGGTAACAAACCGTGACCATTCTCAATGGCCAGTGTCACTTGGGTAAACCCCATGTATTTGGAATTAGCTGAACTGAGTCTGAAAAAAAAACTCCCGCAAAATCACTTTGCAAAACATACACTTTGCGAAGCTGGTTTTTCAGATGGGAAAATTATAAATAGTGCCCGTTGCCACATCGTATTTATGTCTGTTGTCGAGATTCTATTGCAACACGTGCATATCGCGCTCACTGTGTTACTTGCATGTGTTTTTCAAATAAACGTAGGAATTGAACAATTTTAAGGGTTGGCTATTTTGCCATTGTGCAGACGATGGCAATTTCCCCTTTGGGGATGACACAGGTGCCACAAACTACGTCATTTTCAGACGACTGTACCATTGGTCTTTAACTCCAGAGCAGTAACAATCTGCACTGTTAGCCTTTTTTTTGTATCATTGAGCCATTCTAACCTCTTGTGCCCACTAACATTCGCCCACAAATATACAGTCAATTCACTTTACAGCATATTCTGTGAAGCGCTTTGAGACATCTAGAAGACGTGAAAAGCGCTATATCAAATGCAAGGATTATTATTATATTATAACATTTTTTATAATGTCAAATAAGCAAGCAGGATGAGTTGACTGAATTCAAACTTGTAGTCCAGTACTTACAAAGTCACTGAAGGTTGCTCAGTAAGCATCTCAGTGTGCCTTTTGCTGAGCTACTTGGAATGTAGACGGGTGGTGATGCCATGGCCTAACCTTTAGCAGCCGGTTTGTATATAGGAAGTCCTTGGGGCGAAATAAACTGCTTACAGTTTAAAAATCAGTGAAGCATTGCAACGCAATAGCAATATGGGGGGCGGAGGGGATGGGGAAAGATTGGCCTTTTAACCTGTAAAGCATTCTGGGGGGAACAAAAATCATACAAGTTAATTGTGTCAAAGATATGCAACCTCACCTCCCTGGCTTTTCACAACATTACTAGGTGCTGCACGCAGGGATTGATGTTGGTGTCTGCCTGATCAGCCCCAAGCTGGCCATGTATTAGCAAGAGAAGCAAAGTGCATTGTGAATTCGCAATACACCCCCCCCTACTAGCCCGCCTGAGCTAAACCTCTTGCACTGCGTTATTTGACAGTATAGTACTGGTGACAGAGTGGGTACAACAACCCAACTTGCACTTATATAACGCCCCTCACGCAGGGTGACGTCCAGAGCGCTTGACAGTGGAGGGGCCATGTCGCCAGGACGGGGAGGGGAAGCGGGAACCGTAGGCACGTCGAAGAGGAAGGTCTTCAGGTGTGAACTGAGGATGGGGGAAGGATAGGATACAGCCTGTTTGGGTGTAAATCAAGAATGCAGCTGAGGAGTATATTTTTACAGTTTGGTTTGTGGAATATCTTATTTTTAATCACAATCGGCTTCGCTATGAGCGTATGTAGCTTATGGACTGATTGCCTGATAAAAATGCTTTGGGGCAGCAATAATTTTCAATTCAGGCCATGATCTTCAAACGATGGTTGAAATGATGTTGCCTTTTGTAAATGTTAACTTTCTGAATAAATATTTGCAGCAAAACTGATGAGGTCTGTTTATTCCTGAAGGATTAAAATAATCAAGATAAAGCTTTGGGAAGAAACTGGGAATCCTAATTGGGTTTTACAGTCGTGTGCCTGTATTTGCATTAGGAAATCTGCCAATATTCTTAAACTGTCAATCATCTGTTTGCCCAGTGGTTATACAGTTAATAGGGGGAGGGGTATGGCAAAGCCCATGTAGAAATTGGACCCCGTTATACATTGTCTTTGATAACAGCACCATTTAGGGTTATATTTAGTTTTGTTCTAAATTATTGCACATGCTAAATTGCACATGTATGGTTTTGTAAGGCAAAATCATAATTCATTTGACTTCAGAACTGCACAACATTACCAGCTGCAGAGCATAATTACTGTTGTAAAAACCGCTGAGGAAAAACAAAGAGGAAGGCTGCTTGTCTTTGTACTCTTAACGGCCGGGCACTCAGCCAAGGCAACTGGAGAACAGAGAAGCTTGGTTTGGCGAGAAAAACTGGTTAATTCTGCAGCCGGCTGGAATAGATTAGGTGTTGGAAAGTTTCACACCCAAGAATTAGATTTAATGAGGTATTACCGAGGCTATAGATTTGTGAATTTAGTAGGATCTGATCTATAAAGGTTGCTCAGGGTTTGAGCTCCAATTCCCTGTAAATAAAAGCCCACTCTTGAATACAGACAGTACTGTGTTCCTGGGAATGTGCCATTGAGAGTAAATTCAAATTACTGTACCCACAGAAACAAATGAAACGCACATTGGAGCTTATGAACACCTGCCTAAACTGATCTCCTGCGCTTCACGGTAAATGCATCTCGACAACTTCCATTTAATTTATATTAATCTGAGCATGAAATGAGCCTTCCAACTGTAAGCTGTCAGACAGCTGTTTGCCTTTCCTGTGCCCTGAAACTATACCCTGCTCTACCCGTCCCAAAGCTGATGTTGGCCTTTAACACAGCCTGCTTTTAATTAAAGGAGCTAGCCACATTTAAGTTTATTTTGTCACCTCTACCACCTCTATCCAGCAAATGTAATAGCATTATTGTTCAGTGATGCAGATTCTAAAGCCACTGACTTTTGATCTGGCTCTAATGTGGGTGGATTAATGAACGGGGTTAGGCAAATTATGCTTCTTTACAGTAATAGAAGTAAGTAGAACTTCACAAGTAGATTAGCTCAAATTCACAATTTTTATTGGGACACTTCACATTTGCAATCAATAAATCTAATCATTTTCAGAACTAATTAGACAATTTGTGCTGTGTGTACAAGGTAGCTTTCTATTATTAGCCATAATTTTTCATCAGTCCCCTGAGGAAGTTTTCACTGCTCATTATGAACTTTGATGATATTTGCAGTATTGCTAAATATATGGCAATACAAAGCCATTTGAGTTTCCAGAAATAGGCCAAACAGAGATCTAGATCTTACGGGATAAGAAAAGTACCATATGCAAAGAGAAGGGCTTCTCACTCTGCAAATTGTTTCTGCAGGCGTCTGCCCGCAGGCATAGTATTTTCTTATTAAAAGGGAGATCGTTATCAACCTTCTGCTGCTTCTCCTTCAAATTCTTCATCCAAGAGAGACAACTTGCCCTTTAGTTGTAGGAAATCTTTAATATTGGATCGTCAGCATCTTCTGAGCCAGAGGTTTCTGATCATGACATTGCCAGAAAATTTGCTCTTTGAAAGTGTGTTCTCATTTTGATTTCCTATTTACCTGTAAGACGACGTCTTTGCGTGCAGTGTTTTACTGAAATGTGTGTCATTTACTAATTAGTTATTATCAATGCCGGTTTAGATATCTTAATGGATTAAAGGATTACATTACTTCACTAATCTGGTAATAGGTTTCACTGTGAGTTGGCATTAGTCTGGTTTGTTGCCACGCAGGGTGATCCATCCCATATACTTGTTGCCTTGTATTCTGTCTCCCTGTGGGAAACCTATAGGTGATGCTTGAAAACTGGGAAAACCCCATTGGTGGAATTGGCTTAAAATTTGATGCTATGCAAGATTTATGAATCTCACCTGGTTTGAATTTCTCAATATCTTAGTTCATGCTTGGGATATCTTGAGTGCCTTCTGCTGTTAGTGTGTGGTTTGAATCTGAAATCTTTCAACAGTGCTGTAATTATTAAATAATGATTCCCCGGTAATTACTCTAACCTATTCCGAGCTCGTTTTCACAGATCTCATTTATTTCCCGCAAAGGGCAAAGTAGTATTTATAGAGATGAGCGATCATAATACCTGACATTCCAAAATTGCAAATGCAGCAAATTACATAATAACCTCTAACGATTTAATGTTTTAGAGTTGGGGCTAATATATGGTGATTTCTAAACGGATTCCTTCATAGATATTTGTGCAGCGACTCCTTACAATAAACTGCAGTATGTCATGCTGATCCATATTGACTCCTCTGGCAAGTGAGCAGTGCTCATGTGGAGTATAAACACCGGTACCGACTGGTTGGGTTGAGTGGCCTGTTTCCTCCTGCACATTCTGTGTAAACCCCCACAACGAGCTGGATAACCTCTTCTACATATTCACTGCTCTCTGCAAAATAATTAAATCAGAAATATCTGTTAAACTTGCTTCTTCTGAGCTTGGGCCAGTGTCTGTCTGTATCTTGTACAATATTCATAGCAGTTCAACTCTTTGAATAAAAAGACTGCTATGCGTAATATTTATAGCATCACATGCTTTTCACTGACACTACACATAGGCAAGGGTTTGTTTCAGTATTAAATAAGGCACTGGTGAAGACGAACATTGTGGACAAGCAGGAGTTTGAATGGCACTGTGAGTGCTGCCTGCTTTTATTGTTTGGTCATTATGTCAAAATGAAATTGGCACCAAAGTGGCTCCAAATGGCATGGCTGTTTTTCCTCGCCGTCAGATTGCTTTAAAATAATGCGATTAACCGGATTTTCCTAGGGTTACAGTACACCCAGGTGCAGATCCATCAGTTTATCTTCTCAATAATTGGATGTTGCATCGAATTGTAAGATTATGTTTTCATTTCACACAAGTTATCCAGAGACTAGGGATCATGAATTATTAATAGCCAACTCTATTAGAGTTATTGTTGATAATTGATATAACCTTAACTCGGAATAAAAATGAATAAAGTAGGATAATTGCAAGGTAATGAAGTGTGGGGATTGTAACATTGACATGAAGGAATGATCTTGTAGCTTCTTCTTTCATGATTATTGAAGTTCACGACCAGAAATACAATTTAATATTTATTATTAACCCTCACCACAATACATTTTAAATTGCAAGTGAGCATTTGGCAAAATATTCCTGCCTCTTGTTGGCATTCTTGGGATGACTTATTTAAAAACAATCACGTCAGTCCTCCAAATACTTAAAAGATAATAATTTATAAGCTTCCATATCCTTTCGAATATGTCTTGCAGGTGATGCATGCA